TCACGGGTTTATTACGAATCAACTTAACGGCCTGCTCCCAGTTGGCTTGTTAGCTCAATTGGTAGAGCGCTGCACTAGTATCGCAGAGGTCAGTGGTTCGAATCCCGTACAGGCCTGATTTTTTTCAGGTCTGACTTTCGCTATTGCATAAATAGCGCTCTCTGCTGCGAGGATCGTGCATCATACGTATATATATATAACTGCAGACAGGGCGCACACTGTTTCGAACTATGTGGGTCTCGTCAGTGCAGTGCAGACACTGAACCAAGCTCTGGAATAAACCATTGCCTGGGCGCTACACTTGTGGGACCAAGTGCAGGCATCTTGCCATGCGAGAGTGTTCAAATCACAACTAAGGGCTCGTCAAAATACGGCACAACTCGTAAAAATACTCAGCGATACTACACAACAAAACGTCTACTAAGTTATTTATTATCCAACACGCCAAACTGTTATTTCAGCGGATATTTATTTACGGGGTGTGCGCGACAGAAGTATGCGAAGCGGAAAGGAATTGGCGCGTTGTGGTGTTGCTGTTTCTATTTTCTTCATTAAATGAAGACATTTTCTGGTCGTCAAGCTGTTTTTCTTCGTTCGATTGATCTAATAAACTTTGATCTATATTTGCCAGCCATTCTGACTCTTCGTTGTCGAAAATATGACTCAAATTGTCCGCCATTTATTTTTCGTAACTACAATAAAATTATTCGCTTGCGCGATGCGAGAAAACCTGTTTAACTGGTACTCTACCATAGACGAGTACAAATACCGCGTGGTATTTGTACTCGTCTATGGCGTCATTTGTACTCTACGAGGTGTAGTTGGATAATAATTACGTTTATTTCATTGCAGCCATATACCATAGTTACTACCGGTTTACCGGCATAATCAAAAAGCTCAAATAGGTTAGTGGAGCCTCTATTAGTTTAAGGTTTGAGATAGTAAGATTGCCTTCCTAAAGACGCATTCAGTCGATTAAGATCATTTGTTAAAAGAGACTGTAACGTATTTTTGCATTCACACCTTAATTGTTCCTTTCTTTTTGTAGTATTTTTCTCCAAGCTTTTTGGTCATGACTTTCACAACGATTCCCTACATAGCAAAGCCAAAAGACAAGTTCAAGCAAGATTCACAGTACCTGAATAAGTTCTTTGCAGTCGTAATATCAATACTATACTTGTGTCATTATTATTATTATTATCATTAATATTTTAATGCACTATTTTATCATACTGCCTCCACAATATAAAGAGTTCACCACTTCTCGTTGGTTCCTTTCCCCGCTCGTCCGTTTGTTTGTACGTTCGCTCATTCGTTCCTTTCTTCGTGCGTTCGCTTGCTCGTTCCTTTCTTCGTGCGTTCGCTTGCTCGTTCCTTCGATCGTTTTTGATTTCGTTTGCTCGTTCTCTCGTTTGTTCGCTGGTTTTGTTCGTTCGGTCTTTCGTTCGTTCTCCCTTCGTTTGTTCGCTGATTCGATCGTTCGGTCTTTCGTTTGTTCGTATGTTCGCTGGTTCACTCGTTTGTTCGTTCTCTCGTTTATTCGCTGGTTTTGTTCGTTCGGTCTTTCGTTCGTTCTCCCTTCGTTTGTTCGCTGATTTGATCGTTCGGTCTTTCGTTTGTTCGTATGTTCGCTGGTTCACTCGTTTGTTCGTTCTCTCGTTTATAATTAACTGTATTCTGATACAAAGAGTGGACAGGTGTTGTGTGATCTGTGAAAAGCTTGTAACCCTATTTTACTTGCTCATGATACAAGGAATCATGATACACAACTTAATGACAAACTATTTATTTCTGATCAGTATTCCTGCCACCACACCCTTATGCTAGTCTTATTATGAATTCAGATAACCAACTGTATTCAAATACGATTACAATGAATCTATCATTTTCTTGTCTCAAGTAGCTAATGTAAAAACCCCAGCAAATGTTGCTGTTTAAAGAAAAACAATTTTAAGATTAACATGAACATTTGTATTGAATATCCTTCTCAAGACGAAAAGTATCATTATAGTAATTGGATTATATAGACCTCGTACAAACTTCACATTGCAATACAGTCAACAGCTGGAAGAGGAACTCAATCACATCTGTAATTGGGCTAACCTACAAAGAAATTCCACCGTAGTGCTTGGTGACTTGAATTTGGATCGTCTTAGACCAACAACTAACGAAGGTAAACTACTTTTGGATCTAAAAGAAACACACGAACTCGAATGCCTTATTTCTAAACCAACAAGGATCCACAAAATGGGAGATCGGATTAGCAAGACACTTATAGACGTTATTCTAACCAACGTCCCTGATGACTTTGCCAAGAGCGGTGTTTTTGACCCAGGTCTAAGCGATCACGCCCTCATATAGACATTCATGAAGGAAAGGATTGCTAAAAGTAAAGCAAAAGTGGTCAATTTCTGCTCACGTAAAAGTTTTGATTAGCGCTTATTTAAAGAACATTTAGCTTCAGCTCCATGGCATGTTGCTGAAATTTTTGATAAGGTCGATGATCAGTCCCAATTTTTTGGCCCATTGGTAAAGGACATCGTGGATGAGCACATACCCTGTAAGAGAATGCGCGTCAGAGATGGTGATGTGGCATATATGACAACCGAATAGAAGGAGGCCATCAGACGAAGGAGAAAGGCACTTAGAGGATTTCGCAAAACTAAAGCTTCAGAGGACTGGGAACCACAAAAAAGTTAAGGAATGAAGCGACACGACTCAGACGTAAGTCAATCAAAGACTTTTGGGAGAAGGAGTCTAAAGACCTTGGAAGTAAGCCACATGAATTCTATAAATCATTCATGCCTTTTCTTGGATCAAAAAAGGTTAAAGAATCAATGGACTTGAAATTGAAGGTCAACGACTCAATAATTAGCAACAAGTTGGACATCGCAGAGACTATGGGTGATTACTTCTCATCTTTTGCAGATAACATAGGTCCTACTAGCGAAGTTTTAGATAATAACCTTTCAAATCACCAAAGCATTCAAGCTATTGTAAACCAACGCATATCTAAGGGTGTTTGCAAACCATTTCAATTCAAAGGGATAAGAGTGCCGGAGGTTCTTAAAGGTCGGCACACACGAGGGGACTAGTCCCTGCGACTAGTCCCGGCTACAAGTCTTTGAAGGGTTTACACTAGGGGACCGGTAGCAGGGACTAGTCCCTTCGTGTGTGCCGACCTTTAGTTTCATGCGACAAGTCCCTGCGACTGGTCGCACGAGTTCAAACCAGTTTTAATTCGTGCGACCATAGAAATGTGTAGTTCATGCGAAGGGACTAGTCGGATGAAACTGGTCGCTGGGACTAGTCCCCTCGTGTGTGCCGACCTCAAAATCCTGAAAGACAAATCTCAGGAAAGCCTCTGGATGGGACAATATTCCACCCATTGTTTTTAAATTAGGCTCTTCAAAGGTAATTGAGTCAGTTTGCTAGACATAACGTCTCGTAGTCACGTTCGACGCACTAAAAACTACTATAAAACGAATACAAGAATTCTTGTATTCTTGTATTCGTTTGTATTCTTGAATTCTTGTATTCGTTTTATAGTAGTTTTTAGTGCGTCGAACGTGACTACGAGACGTTATGTCTAGCAAACTGACTCAATTATCGAACACGTTCCTGGCCTCGGCCCACAAAATTTCATCACAATCTTCAAAGGTAGCTACACCGTTATGCGATCTTTATAACCGATGTATTGCCAGCTGTCATTGTCCAAGGAATTGGAAGAGAGGCGAGTGGGTGCCTATTTATAAAAAGGACGATCGTTTGAACATGGTAAATTACCGTCCTGTCAGTATACAGATCATGGTAAATAAAATTTTTGAAAAGCTTTTCGCAAATCTGATCACAGCAGAATTTGACGAACGTTTAAGCGACGGCCTGAAAGCATATAGGAAGAGACACAGTTGTGAAACGGCACTACTAGTATTGAGAGAAAACTGGAAAAAAGCTCTGGATAAGGGAATGAGCGTTGGCCTGTTAAGTACTGACACGAGTAAAGCTTTTGATTGTCTTCATCACTCTTTGTTACTTGCTAAACTAGAGGCATATGAATTTAACAACGAGAGCATCAAGCTCATGAAATCATTTCATGGATCGCTACAATAGACTAAGAATTAGTGGAATCACAAGTTCCTGGAAAAAGGTGAAGAAAGGATGCCCTCAAGGGTCCTCGTTGGGGCCTCTACTGTGGAATTTATTCCAAAACGACTTGACGTTTGGTATTCCTTCTAACATTGAAATCTATGCTGATGACCATCAGTTTTACGAAATTGATAAGGATATTAACACTATACAGACGAAACTACAGGATACTGCTCAAGAGGCTACAACTTGGTACGATGCAAACTTTCTCAAAACGAACTATGATAAATATGGAACAATGGTAATGAAAGGAGGCAGACTGAGCGATAAACAACTAGAGTTAAATGTTAACGGGACAGCCATTAAATCATACAATTCTATTAAGTTATTGGGTGTAAACATTGATGATAATTTGAATTTTTCCGACCACACAAGTGACATTTGTAAAAAAAGTAGCCGAAGGGTAGGCGTAATTAATAGATTGAGGAAGTTGATCCCAGTTGAGGCTAAATTACAACTTTTTAAGGCTGCTATCCTGCCTTATTTAACTTATTGTAGCACTATNTTTCGTTTGTTCGTATGTTCGCTGGTTCACTCGTTTGTTCGTTCTCTCGTTTATTCGCTGGTTTTGTTCGTTCGGTCTTTCGTTCGTTCTCCCTTCGTTTGTTCGCTGATTTGATCGTTCGGTCTTTCGTTTGTTCGTATGTTCGCTGGTTCACTCGTTTGTTCGTTCTCTCGTTTATTCGCTGGTTTTGTTCGTTCGGTCTTTCGTTCGTTCTCCCTTCGTTTGTTCGCTGATTTGATCGTTCGGTCTTTCGTTTGTTCGTATGTTCGCTGGTTCACTCGTTTGTTCGTTCTCTCGTTTATTCGCTGGTTTTGTTCGTTCGGTCTTTCGTTCGTTCTCCCTTCGTTTGTTCGCTGATTTGATCGTTCGGTCTTTCGTTTGTTCGTATGTTCGCTGGTTCACTCGTTTGTTCGTTCTCTCGTTTATTCGCTGGTTTTGTTCGTTCGGTCTTTCGTTCGTTCTCCCTTCGTTTGTTCGCTGATTTGATCGTTCGGTCTTTCGTTTGTTCGTATGTTCGCTGGTTCACTCGTTTGTTCGTTCTCTCGTTTATTCGCTGGTTTTGTTCGTTCGGTCTTTCGTTCGTTCTCCCTTCGTTTGTTCGCTGATTTGATCGTTCGGTCTTTCGTTTGTTCGTATGTTCGCTGGTTCACTCGTTTGTTCGTTCTCTCGTTTATTCTCTGGTTTTGTTCGTTCGGTCTTTCGTTCGTTCTCCCTTCGTTTGTTCGCTGATTTGATCGTTCGGTCTTTCGTTTGTTCGTATGTTCGCTGGTTCACTCGTTTGTTCGTTCGTTTGTTCGAATCTTCGCTGATTCGTTTGTCCCTTAGTTCGTTCGCACTTCACTCGTTGATTTGCCATCCATTTTGCCTCGTATCCTTTTTTTTTTTACTTACTTTTGTGATCCAGTTGTCCTTCCGACTAGTCTTCATCTTCTTTTTCTCTTCCATCTTAAAGGAAAAAAAATTAATTATAACTCACAGTTTATTACTGAAACGAGAGCTTTCCCTTTTTGTCCACGTCTGATTGATCAAAAACTGCCTATCCGTTCTGTAACATAACACATCTTTTATGAACTTACCTCCATTATTTCTTCCAGCGCTGATTTCCGTTTTTGACTGGAAAATTAAAAACAAAGGACTGTACATTATGTGCGTAAATAGCTCGGAACAAAAACTTGTACTAGCTGTAACTTGTTCCCCTAGCTTGTAAAAATCCTCAAAAACGACAAGACACAGAAATAAACATAAAAGAACCCATGATAGATAAAGTAATCAAGGTGCCAGCCACGAAAGATTTCTTTACTTCTGTCCTCTTTGAGAGACTTCAACTAAAATGAAAGTTTGTCAAAATTACCAATCAATACATCAGCGTCGAATCTTTCTCAACAGCTATTCATTAACTGACAGTTCTTGACACCACAAAACTTTAAAACTTCTAAACAGAATCTGTATTTACACATTTTAACAAGCTGACGGCTACAGTTGAGAACACATGTCTGCAATTCCACTGGATGAAAAAACAAACAAACAAACAAACAAACAAACAAACTAACTAAAAACACTGGATGAAAAACAAACAAACAAACAAACTAACCAAAAATAACAAAAGATGAAAAGTACCATCAATTTGTCACACAGTTTCAATACCTTTTTTCGGCTTTTTCTTTCTCTTTCTTCTTTTCCCTCGGAATCCAGCTCTCTGACATAAGTGGATTCTGCAGGCCAGTGGGCTTCGACTGCATTACTCTAATTTTACAGGGTAGAACAGGAAGGGTAAGTGCCAGAGTGGTGTTCGAATCTAGTCTCTGCTCAGCCTGGTAATTTTTTTTTCCACAGACATTTCTACTCTTTTTCAGGTGATCAAAATCGATGAATGGAACTGAGCTTCGCTGAGATGATATTATCTCACTGAAGAAAATTCGTTTATGAAATCTTACTATGGGTATACTGACATATCAACAATGAACCGAGAGGTTTCTTAAGTCCATTAATACTTGTATGATTAAATAGTGGCGAGGATTTTTCGAGGAAAAATTTCTTGCAAAAATCGGTTGACAATTTCTTTTTTTCAGCAAAGCACTAACCCGCTGGGCCCTGGATCAGACTCCTTCTTCTTGGCCGCCGGCATAAGGAACGTCACTAAAAAAAGTAAATCACAATTTACTTGATATTGGAACAATTTTCAACTGAAAAGTTGGAACTAAGAAAGTTATCCGGGATCGCTTTTGTTTTCCTTAACTTTTATCGGTGATTGGTCTAGAAAACTTGCTCAATCCTCTCAACCAATCAGACGCAAAACTAAAAACAATCGCCACTTTGTCGCCCGCGTTTTCCCGCGCTTCAAGCCGTTTGCCTGTTTTCATTTTGAGTTCTCATTGGCTATTGAAAGTATAAACTTTGGTTCTGATTGGTTGCTGGAATTACTTTAGTTTTGGTTCTTGACACTCAACTGCAAACTGCTACAAAATATTACCACAGAATAGAAAGATGGTAAGTTTTGAGCTCGGTAAAGAAATAGAGAAAGATGTTTTTCGTCTAATCACGAGCGTGGGACTCAGAATACTTTCTTTGTCCCACGCTTGTGACTAGACGAAAAACATTTTTCTCTAAATATCACTATAGAAATCAATAATAATAATTATAAATTGACAAATAAAATTCTTTAATGAGCGTTGAGAGTCTCAAAATCTTATTGAATTGCTTTTCTTCGCATAGTAATTCGCAAAACTGCATCCTCGGAGAGCTAGGGACAAACAGGATCTTATCAAATCATTGACGTTCACCCTCACAGAAATAATTGGCATTTATCTTGGCCTTCTCTCTATAATATCCTTAAATTAGCCAGAAAATAGGTACTAAGAATATTAAAGTACTATCAGTTACGGGATGTTATCCTAACCTTACACCAAATTCTCGTGAGTACTTAACGAGGAAATATGAAGCAACTACTGTACAATGTAAAAGGGAGAGGTTTATTGATCAGAGTTTGGGATTTAAAGGGTTCAAATGATAATCACAAACAAGCAAACCTTTTTCCTCTTCATCGTCTCGTTTCAGCTCTGTGAAGACTGATTCTGGCTAAATGAAGCAAACAGATACCAAAAAAAAAAAGATGTATATACAAAAGTTAAAAAAAAAAGATTGAAAAAGAAAAAAAGAGATTTTTTATCAAAACAAACCTCATCGACTTTCCTTGCACGTTCTCTTTCAATTTGCCTTTCAAGAAGCTTTGCTGGTGAACAGTAAATACATATATCTTATTAGACGTTTTGTTGTGTAGTATCGCTGAGTATTTTTACGAGTTGTGCCGTATTTTGACGAGCCCGTAGGGCGAGTCAAAATACAAATAACGAGTAGAAATACTCTGGGATACTACACAACAAAACGTCTAATAAGTTATTTATTATCCAACACACCAAACTGTTATTTCAGCGCGGGCGAATTTCGCGGATATTTATTTACGGGGAGTGCGT